TCATCCATTGATGGTATTCTCATGAATCAGGTTGCATTCAATTGTCTCAAGTCCATTGAAACGGTTGGTTGGTCCCATAAGCAGCACCGCCCGGTCCGGGCTTCCTTTGACTGGCTGCCCATCTTCCAAGTCGGGCCGGTCCATGTCAAATTTGCAGCTTTAGACACTTCACATGTTGGTAAGCCTACTTGTCCCCAAGACTATCAATGCCATCAGGTAATGTGGGATGCTGCCCTTTCCTCTCAATTCGATCGACAGTCATCTGAAGAGTTGTGGTTTGATATCAATCAACATGCGATTTCCGCCTTGGTCACTTTGGGTGCGACCTGGTCGAACGGAGTCCATAAGCGTGCGGCCCCACCTATTTTCCAATCCAACCGGGCCAAATGCCTTCTGGGGCTGCAGTTTTCCTTCACCTTTCTTGGTTACACAATGCTAGGGCCAAGGTCTTTGACATCCAAGCCAAAGTTGCCAAACCGTACCTCTCTGATAAGGAGTGTGACATTTTGCATAACGCCCTGACCAAGCTTAACAGACTGTTGTCTCGCTTGAAGGCTCCATTTTGTTTTCGCTCCCAAAGCCGGTTGTCACTTGTCTCACTGCATGAATGCCACCTTTGGCTCCAGTGTCAAATTGAAAAGCGCGAGCATGATCTCAAATTCAGGCGCATCAATGCTTGGAAGGAGAAAATTCGAGATTCGGCCAACTCTAGCCGTGCCTATATTTACCACCACCTCAGGAATAAGGCACAAGATCAGCCCAACAACCTCGTCATCGATCAGCAAAGCCATATTGTTTACCAGCCTGTTGATGCACTGAGCGCGATCAACGAGCAATGGGATAACATCTTTGCTGCAAATGTGGGGCATGATGATCCTGTCGATGTTCTTAAGGTGCTCTGGCCGTATCTCTCTAGGGAGAATCGCCCCTGGGACCCTCCGCCACTTACTGGTGCCGACATCTTTGCCACCCTGAAAGCTAGACATGCGCACGCCGCCCCCGGGCTAGATGGCTGGAGAACTACCGAACTCCAAGCCTTTCCTATTGAAGTGTGTGAGCTTGTTGCAGCCTTTTTTCGGAGACTTGAGGCCAATGTTGATCACTCGATTCCACTTGCCTTGACCACAGCTAAGATTGTGATCTTAAATAAACCTGGCCTCTCTTCCCCGCTAAATAAAAGACTCATTACAATCTTGCCACCGCTGCTACTTGCCTATACGGGCTCTCGCTTTCGGCAAGCTAAGGAATGGCAAGCTGCCATCATGCCTCCATCAATTGTTGGGGGAATTGCAGGCAGACACATGACTGCTATCCCTGCCAAGCTTAGACTTGACCTTGATGAAGCTGCGCTAGCTGATGAAGCCATTGTGGGGATGAAGCTTGACAAGAGCAAGTGTTTTGACCGCATTGTTCCGGCCTTTGTTGCAATCATCCTGCTTGCTTTAGGGTGCTCCAAGGCTGTTGTCAGCATTTTTGTTCGGCAATACACGGGCCTGCGTAAACATCTTTCGTATCGGGGCTGGACTTCTGGTAACTCTACTACTGCCCCAAATGGAGTTGCCCAAGGGTGTTCTTTCTCGTTGATTGCCATCAATGCATACATGCGTTCGTGGGTGGCCTTCCTCCATTGTTCCCCACCTTTCGCGCCGCATCTATATTGACGATATATATATATATATATCTTTGGGCTAAAATCCAGTTTGGCGCTAATCTTAAGCCTGCGCTGGAAGTCACTAAGCTTTGGGATTCCCTTGTCGGTCAAAAACTTAACACGGAAAAATCAGTCGCTTGGGCGTCCAATGCCTCAGCCAGGAAGACTGTCAAACACGAGTTTCCCGGTTTCTTAGTTCAGGAAACTTTTGATGTTTTGGGAACCAAGATTTACACCTCTCAGCGGAATGCCGTCGATTTCTCCGACGAAAAGACCCAAAAGATTTATGGTGACATTCGCAACATTGGTGCCCTGCCGTTGCCACGTAAGAGTAAAAGTCAGCTTATTGGTTCCAAGGTCATTCCACAATGCTCGTTTGCTGCGCATATTACCAAGGTCCCTAAAGCTGTCCTTGACAAGATCCAAGCTGAAATCACGCAAGCACTCTGGGGTCAACGCCCTCACTGGAGAGCCAAACACCTTGTTCTTGGTCTTCTTGCGCAGCCCTACCGAAATGATCCATATTTGGCCCGTTCCTTCTGTGCAATTTTGGACTTTGTGCGTTTCATCCAACTTGAACATGATGCTTTTGAGCGTTGTTGTAAGATTGCAAGCCTTCCGAAGGCAGGCAAGCATTCACTTGTTGGGAGCATCCAATCTGCTTTTGCTGATTCTGGCCTATGCCTTGATGACACGTTGTGCATTGGTTTTGGGAACGGCATCAAGATCTCCCTACATGAAGTTTCAGTGCGTGACATTGCACCTGTTCTCAAACATTTTGCCGTCCAGGTTCATTATTCGCACCCAGCAAATCTCAACCGTAAGGATTTCTTCAAGCCTGAGGGCTTTATTGATGTCTTCCACACCAAGCTTTTTGGCAGAAAGGCTAATGTTCAACATGGTCCTGGTCCGCCACTTCAGGCCTACTTTGAGGCTCAACAAGTTGGCTGCACTATCACCAACGACCGCAGATTCGCAGCCAAATTCGCAGATAGCAGTGCCTGTCGATTTTGTTCTCGTGATAAAGAGTCACTTGTACACATCCTGGGCTGTCCTGAAGCCCAGAATCACTTTCAGTTTGGCCCTTCACATGAATTTGGTTCCAATTTTCAGCAGCTTGGCATTATTGAACACCCGTGGCCCGTGCTACGGCACCGGCTACGTATTGATCGTGCTGGTGATCTTGTGCCACAAGTGTTTGATTCCCCTGATGATATCCTTTCGCTTTGGACAGATGGCTCTGTGTTTTGGGGCGAGTGTTTTCCGCTCACTGCTGCTGGTTTTGCTATCATTCAGGAAGATGGTAGCACTTTGGCCGCAGGTCCTGTGTCGCATTTATCCCTTTCCTCGTGTTCTGCGGAACTTTGGGCAGTTGTCGTCGCAACAGCCATGGCACACTGCTGTCTTTGTATTTACAGTGATTGCTGTGAGGTTGTTACCAAGGTCAATGCTCTTGTTCAAACCCGCCGAATACCTGGTGACTATGTACACATTGAGTGGTGGCAGACTCTCCTTCAGCTCATCAATGCTAGGAGCCCCCTTTGCCATGAAGATGTTCTTCGGATGGTTTGGATCCCGGCTCATGTTGATGACCATATTCCTGTGTCACTCATTTCAGCTGAAAGAATTATATAAACAGGTTGGGACTTCCCGCAAACACATTGAACTCAATCGCCAAGCTGACAAAATTGCCAAACAGCATGCACTTGCCCGTTGTGGCCCGTTGTGCAATTGCGCCCGGTGACAAAGACTTCTTTCACTCTGCTATTTTACACCAGCAGGTGGTTCTCACGCTCCTCAACAAACATATAGGCTCAGAATGTTTGGAGGACTTTAAGTTCGAGACGCAGTCAACAAAGCAACTTGAGCTTCAAGACCCTCGGAAGTGTTTCCCTGGGCTGGCTTGGGATACAGAGGAAAGTGATTTTTCGATTACACTTGATTTCCCGGATGAGCCACCTCCATCGAAGGTGCTATTTGGTGCTGAAGATTGGATCACTGTGCTGGCTTTTTTCCGATCTTTACAATGGAAGGTTCACGATGAAGTTTTGTGTACGTATCAAGAACTTGCTTTTCTTTTCTACAAGCGAGGATTCCGGCTTCGAAGTCGACCATCTCATTTTCAAGACCTAGTGTTGCAATTACGGAAGTGCATTGTCACGATTCAAAGAACGCCCTGTGCTGTTCCTGGGACTCCGACTGCCCGCGCTACGAAGTGCATTGGGCGGGTCCTCCCACAAGGCGCTGTGGTGGGTGCACTTCCGTTTTTTGCTCAGAATGAGCTTCTTGCATTTTGTCGCATCCTTGCTGAGGGTGCTGGGAGGTCGGCTGAGACCTGGACCTTTCCTTTTGATCACCTTCTGTAGCTGCCCCTCTAATTTGTGCAACCTTTTGTTCATCGATCAGTGTGTCGTGGACAGGACGTGTCACCCCAGGGATCCGACTCGTCTGCGTGTGAACAGAATAGACTACCTGGAGGTCAACCTACCCTGGTTTGGGGCTCCATGTTTGGACCCACACCCATGTCCGTTTCTGTAAGGAGACTCGGAATTGAACACATGATTGCCCTCCACACATTGAGCACACTTCCATTTAAGGTTTGTGCAACATACAATGTCTGCATTAACCTGCACTCACACCACAAGCTTGCTGATGTTTTCATTTGCCGTTTGCCAACCTTCTGATCCTCCTCTGGCGTTGGCTCCCCAGAAATCAAGCACTGATTGAAGCGCTCCATCACCGCAGTCGGCAACTGACAAGAGAGAAAGAGATAATCAAAAAAGAAAAGCGACACGTAAAATTGCCACATTAATATGTATTAATAACATGTATTTCGATCTACAGTAGATTTGGTTGAAACAAGCCATTGAAGGCACCTTCTGGGCCATCACAACATCATCAAACATGGCGGTACCAGCAGCTGCAAGCACGTCTGCCATGGTTGGAAGATGCAAGCACGTCTGCAGTGTGTCGAACTGATGCCAGGCACGCGCTGTGAACTGTAGACGCCGCGTCTTGTAAGGCTCCACAGAGGGAGAGAGAGAGAGAGAGAGAGAGAGACAAAGAGACTTTGGGCATGTGACTGAAATCTGTACGGATTGAACCTGTGTTTACAGTCCAGACTCCCACGCTCTCAAGCTCTCACGCTCACTACATCTACTGAGGTTTAGATGTACACGATTGAAAGAAAACGACATTCTGAGCAAGACAGGACAAAACCCAACTTAAAACGACAGGGATGGGGTGTTCAACGAGCCGAGGCTGCAAACAGCAAAGTCCAATTGTCTATACAATTTCATCTAATTTCTAGGTCTTGAGCTCGGCCTACTGTGCAACCTCAGCCCCTGGCCGCATCAGGATTCACGTGCAAGCTCCGTGCCCAATAGAGCGCTCCCAAGGCCTCATGTTGATCCCTTCAGCTCGTCACATCGACGGTCTAAGGTGTGCACAATCTCCTACATGTCAGGAGAGCGCTTGGTGGCCCTGCCTCATTCCATCTTCCATACCAAATGCAAGAGCTTAGAGAAGATGACAGCTCCGGTAGGGAGGGCAAGATCCGCCTGGCGCAAATCAAGCTCAGGATATTGTCCCTCATTTGAGCAGAGGATATCACAAGGTTCGTGGCCTGTAACTCGCTTGAAACACCACGGCAGAGCGAACTTGCATATCACAGCCCATCCATCATTGTAAGTGCAAAAAGAAAAAGGTCTGTCCACAGAATGTCACACGCACACATGCACACTGATCGAACGACAAAGCAAATCTCTTTGATGACCTGCTTGCATTGCTGTGCAGGAGCTCAAAAGCACATTGCCAGCCTCAAAAGCACATTGCCAGGTCTTTGTTCGCCTCCAGGAGCCCCTATTAGCGTCGTTCCTAGTAGCGATGCCCTTTGCTCCTAGTAGCCATTTGCTCCTAGTAGAAAGGCCAGGAGCCCCTAGTAGCTTTATTGTTCCTAGTTGCACGAAGAGCTCAAAAAATGGATGCCCACTCGTCACTGCATCAACATCAATCAACGAAAACGGAACGACCTAAACGGAAAAAGACACCCACAACGGAAAGTCAACAACGACAAGAGGTGGACATAATGTGACATAATAACATCACAAAGACATGCAGTAGTATCTGTATCTCTCTGTCTGAATCTTTCAGTGGTCACTGTTTGTAGAATGTGGATCAAAATCCTGATACTTGCAGTCTCCACAGACTAGACCATTGAAAACAAAAAACACATCTAAAAAACACACCCACTCTATCAAGAGAATCGAGGGGCAAAAGTGGGATCTACGGCCTGACTCTGGTTGTGCAATGAGGTGATCAAACCCGTCTGTGGAACAGAAGACTTGGTTGTCTTGGATTAGATTTTCATCAAAGTTGGATTAGCAACGACATTTCGATGTATCTGACCAATTGGGCTGAGTTGATCACATTGCCATAAACAAACATGTAGTAGACAACAAAAGAAGCATAGGCAGAAGCCAGGAACTTATATAGCAGTATACATTATTGATGTATTCAGTTAAACATTGACTTGTTATCTCGGCTCAAAAAGGCTTCTGTTAGCGACTGCGTCATTCGGAGTTTTTCATGACCGGATCTATTCTACATTAATTATATCAAAGTACCGACGGCGGCGCGACGGTCCGTGGCAGCAGCGCGGATCTTTTGGACCAAGAGCGCTCTGCGGGTCACGCAGAGTTCAAACAGCTTGCAACAGACATGATGCCAACCTGCAAAGCTAGTATGCTTACCTGCTATGCTTGTCCTGCATGGATGTTTCAGACCCCTCCTTAGCTTTGGAGGCAGCATCTGTCTCTGACCGTTTCACGGCCTTGCGTCGATGACGCCCAGCTCGAATCGCCATCTTTCTGGCAAAAGCTTCTTCGCTGGGCCGGAGTCGCCACATGCTCGTTGCCATGGCTTGGAGGATCGGCTCACGTTCACAGCCAGCTTTCGTCAGCACATCGGCTAACATCTGTGCCGTGTCACACCAGATGGCCTGCTCGTTATGGTCATCGTAGTTGGTGTAGCCGAGGATCTCTTTCACCTGGGAAACTAGGATCTTCACTCTCTTGTCGGTCGGTTGCCCTGCATCTTTTGTGATCGTACTTTCGAGGGATTTGGCATCCGTGATGGCAATCATCAAAGGGCGAGCCATCTCCTTCTCGATGTCGCTGAGGGAGAGCTCTGGATGCTTCATCTCCAGGATCAGTGACCTGACATAGTCACCAGCTTCGGAGCCCATCAGGAAGGCGTTTGCCTCTGCAGCAAGCGTTGATCTGCAGACCCTCTTGATGCTTCCTGAATAGGTTTCCAGGAGCAAAAGTGGAACTTCTTCTCCACTTGCGATCTCGGGGATGGTGAGGCCGATGATGTAGCCACATTGCGACTTCATCTCAACATTTGCAAAGCTACTGTCCGCGAAGACGCAGACAATGACGTTGTCCCAAGTCAACCTCTCGTTGGGGTTGAAGATGTACTTCGCTTCTGAAGTTTCTTTCATCATCTTCACCGCCTTGTTCAAGTCAATGATGTTCTGAATGGTAGGCTTTCCCATGGTCTGGGATGCAAGGCTCACGTTGACAAGGAGGTCGGGACGAGTCTGTCGGGTCACCCAACCCATGGAGCCAATGAGTCCCCTGAACTCGGACTTCTCCTCTTCAGTGAGCGGGGCGTTCGGTGTTGTTCTCCTTTCTTTCTTCAGGACGATGTACTCGATGCTTTCAATGGCATCAAACTGGTCAAGCTCAATGCGTCCATCAACGCGCTTGACGTTCTTTCCACAGAACCTGAAGTCGTCCTGCTTCACCTTTAGGTGGATCTCCTTCTCGAGGATCTTGATCGTTTCGAAGAACTTCTCGCCGGTTCCAGTGCAGAAGAGGTCATCAACGTGTGAAGCCATGATGCCGGAGAGAGAACCATCCACAAAAAGGTAAAACAAGGCTTGCTCAATGCTTGACATCTTCCATCCTTGGGCCTTGACGGCATTGAAGAGCTTCTTCCACCATGACCTTCCAGCATCTCTTGTGCCATAGATGGAGCCCTTGGCGCGAAGGAGATCGGTTGGCAGTATGCCAGGTGGAGGCGGCCGAGGTGGCCTGAGAATCAGCAAGCGGCTGATCCCCTTTGACTGCAAGTAGGCTGTCGAGGCATCGCACGCAACCAATGGCCAACCTTGCAAGACGGAGATGGAGCAAATGAGGTTGAATGCAAGCAACGAGGCTGTGGGCGAATCAGAACGGATCCCAGTCTCTTCTTCTTGATGTCCTTGAACGACGATGCGAGACTTTGCTTCGAAGGGAAACTCCTTTTGGATCTGTTCTTTGGTTTTCTTTGTCTTCTTTGACATAGCAGCGGCGAGCAGTCTGGGCTTCTTGTTCTTGTCGACATGAACCCATCTTGTTCCGATGATCTTGGTATCACCGGGCAGCGCTTCAACCTGCTCTTCAGTGAGAACTTCAACAGCGCTGAACTTTTGCCAGGATGCCCATTCTTTTGCCATAGCTGCGTCAAACTTCAGTCTGTCCTCAGGCGGCAGCTCAAAGATGTTCACCTCAGTTCGGACTGCTGCTCCAGTGAGGTAGGAATCATTCTGCAGCACGTCATTCTTGAGGTTGTGGTGCGAGACATCATCAATCGCTTCATCATCTTCAGTTTCGCTGTCATTGCTGATGTCACCAGCCATGCGGAGCAATCTGAGGTTCCGTACAGCAGTGTTGAGGTCCGGGAAGACATTTGGAGTGCCATCTTCAACATAGTATGGACCTTGGAGTGTGTGTCCTCGAGATGCTCTCACAGGTCCAGGCTGTGGCGGTAGTGGATGTCCGTCAAGCCTGTCTGGAGTCTGCATGGCATGTTGGAGATCTCCATGCCCTTGTCCAGCAGATTGCACCGGAGGTGTCTCAGGCACATGTGTAAAGGAGTGGCCAGGCACTGGCTCTTCCAGGTCATCATCTTCTGGGACTGGTGGCAAAGCTCCACTGGAATGATCAGTGGGTGATGGACCTGTTCTGGGTCTTGTGCTTCTTGTTGGAGAGATAGGATCTGTGGATCCGATGGCCTCTGCTCTCTTAATGCCTGATGGCAGTGACGGTGACTCTGCTGCGGCTGCTGGAAGTGGCAATGGAATTGGACCTGACTGATGTGGTTCATGAAGTTCCTCATCCTCAAGTTGTTCTTGTTCATCTGGACCAGGCTCAATCATTGGGATAGCATGATGCCGGAGGTCGACATAGTTCCGGGCACCTTTGGTGTACTCTGGTTCCAGAACGCTTTGTGGCACGACGTGGGCAGCAACCAACTCATCTTCACTTGCAAAACGAAGTTGCTCGCCAGTCACCAGGACAACTGATGGGCCATAGCGTACCCAATAGGAATGAGGTTGTCCTCCGCCGGTGGGAATCTCATCTTCTTGACCTCTCTTTTGATTTCTCATCTCAACGCCAATCACTCTTGCTGGACCATACCATTTGAATCCTCTGCTGTCGGCACCTTGTTGTTGACGGAGGAAGTAGACATAGGCACCGATTGGAAATGGACCACGAGTGGGTGTTGACTGATGCAGCAATGCCCTTCTCACACGGCTGTCGGTGTCCAACTTGATCTGGCAGATTCGAGCTGTCTCTCGCAGAGCCAGGTTTCTTGCCATAGCCGATTGAGGGTTGTCAGCTGCTTCGAGAAGTTCAAGCCGTTCTTGATCATCATCAATCCTCAAACTGCCAGGAATTCTGACTTCTGGAATGCCAAGCACCCATTGATTTGGAGCATAGCCATTTGCTCTGGGGTGTGCGTTCCTGATCTGAGTGACGATGGCAGTGGCGATGATCATGTCTTGGAGTCCAGTGATTTGGCTTTCGTGAACTACCTTCTTCATGAGCTCTTTCCAAATGCCGCCGGCCTTCTCGACCTTGCCTTGTTTCCAAGGCGCCTCAAGTGGCATGACCTCCTGTTCGACTCCGAACTGCTTCAAGTAGTCGGCGAAGTGGGCAAGAAACTCACGTCCTCGGTCCACCTGGATGGATCTAGGAAGACCTGCCCAAGATGACCATGCAGTAAGGAAATGACGGAGCACGGCACGTGAAGCTGGTGGTCCTTGAGATTCACCGATGCAAGTGACCACTTGGAAAGATGTGCCCTCATCGATGATGTTCAAAAAGGAAAATTGCTTGTTCTCAGCATCTCTGCAGTAGAACACATCGAGCGACAGGTGGGCATTGAAGGTGTAGTCGCCAGGGAGTCGTACTGGTTTAGGTCGTCGGCGACGTATGCTCTCACCACAGGAGTCGCAAGAAAGCAGTGCAGCTGCTCTCAGGGCTTCAGGTCGAGCTTGTTGCCTCCTGAGGATCCTGAGCAACGTGGTGTTTGTCGGATGACCAAAGTTCACGTGGAGGACTCGCAAAACTCTTCGGAGCTCTGGGTTCACTTGAAGCCATTCTTGACGACGTTGGGCTTCTGATATGCTCAAAGCGGGATCTAGTCCTGCAGCGACGTGAGCTCGATATTCTTGATCTTCAAGCGGAGGTGCATCCTCGTCCTCAGGGACATCAGGATCTTCATCCAACAACTCAGGTAGTGCTTGAGGTCGAATATAGACGGGAGGTGCAGCAAACTGGTCCATGAGGATTGCCTGCTTGCCTCGTCTTGGTTTTCGCCTCTTTTGCTGAGGTGCGCTTGCTGGAGTGGAAGGAGCTTCTGCAGGGAATGCTTCATGAACACCTCGGAAAGCAGTTGTTTCGATCTCACGTTGTTGCAGCATTGCTGTGATCACCATCTCATTCAACTGATGGGGCCAAACGGAAGCTTGAGCAGTGCGACTTCCAAACTTGTTGGCACCTTCGAGGATCTCATGCTGGTGTGAACCATCACAGTGACATGTGGAAAACAGTGTTTCAGCAGACACCAAGCTCGTCACATAGTAGCTAGGTTTCTTGTGTGGGAGACCTGATTCAGAGTCCTTGTAGCCAACCATGCAGCCATCAACCTTGATGAACATGAGGCTGCCTTCATCAAGTAGTCGGCGGACATCGGCCATTTCAGGTTCTTCAAGACTCTGTGAGCCGAGTGGCTGTTCCAAAAACACATGCCGTTGGGCCTTGATGCGGTCTTTCACGGTCTTGTTGACAGTCTTGAGCACTTCACGACCTTCAGCTCGAAGATGCTCGATGGTGACTGCGGCTGTTCCACCTTTTGCCAAATTGAAACGACTCCAATTTCCCCACGGGCCACAGGGGTGTGTGATCACCAGCAAATAGGGGTCCTCTTGGATGAGATCGTGGTGGAGCTGCTTGCGACCTTTTGAAGTAGTGGCGTCCCACTCATTTGCAGTGAAATCAAGAGGCACACCGCACGTCAGTCCAAGGAGCACTGCCATCATGGTCAGTCCCATCTGTCCAGCAAAGAGTTGTTTGAGCCAGACTCGACCTGAAGGTGGTCGTCGAGGAACCTTGTGAGGTTGACCTTGGATGGCACGACGGTGAAGAAAATCTTCTCCTTGTAGTGCAGCCTCCATACCGCAGATTCGCTTCCATTTCTTGTTGGTCGTCTTTCGAGTGATGTACTCGTCCTTGGCGATGGAAGCAAAGAGGGACTCATCCTCGCAGACGAAATGGCAGTCATGGGAGTTGCCATCAGGATCGAGGTACTCCTTGACGTCTTCTCGGAGAGAAGCGATCCAGTCTTCGTGGTCATGGACATCATCAGGATTCTGGCCACCATAGTCGCGAGGGTAGTCATAGTCAGCGAGGACTTCTTTCTCGAATGCACGGATTTCTTCTTCAGTCGGGCTGGCCTCCTCCGCCAAACCCGGGGGATGCTGAACATGATGTTGAGCAGTAGTGGATTCAGTTCCGTGCTGATCTTCATCATCGCTGACGAACTCGTCCAGCTTCTCCTCATTGAAGTCGAGGAGGTTCAAGGCAAGATGCCCTTTTGCTGTCTTCAGCAGTGGCTTGTTGTGGATGTTGACCTTGAGGAAGGAGATCGTCTGGTCGGCCAAATTGATCACAGCTCCAAGCTCTTCCATGAAGGGGCGACTGAGCAAGAGTGGAGTATTGCCTGGAGTCTCTGCGCTGTGGATCTCTCCATGGACCTTGTAGATGCCGACTGGGAAAACTCGGACATGTTTTGACTCAATCTTGCCGCCAATGCCTCTGAAGATCTGGTTCTTGACGCGCTTGGAAGAGGAAAGGCCACGGCTCACGAGTTCCTTCTCCATTTGCTCGGCCCAAGACTTGCCGTGCATTGTCCTCGTGCAGCCGGAGTCCAAGATGGCGAGTCCTGGAGGATCTTCAGCGGACAGTGCATAACTCTCCTCATCCGGAGAGACCATCATCACCTCACACTCATGGACATTCACGGTGTTGCCATCGTCGATGTCATACTGCAGGGGAGCGAGGATCTTGCGGACGGCCTTCATGTCATCTGGGTCAGTTGACCTCTTTCCCTTGGCTTCACCTTCTTCTTTTGACGGTTTGGTCATCCGCTCAGCTGATGCCTTGACGAGTCGAAGTCGGCCATAGAGGTAGAAGGCAAATCGGAAAATCTCTGGGCCGCTTGGCTCGTTGCGGAGAACATGTCCCATCACGGACTTGCAGTAGCCCTCGGAGGCAAGAGACTCTGCCACATCGCGAAAGTAGTGACCTTGAAAGTGGCCACCGTCGTTGATCTGTTCTTCATCATGTGGCAATGGCTGAAGGATGTCCATGTCCTCTGAAGCCAACTCAGGTAGAGGTGGTAGATCAACATCGGGTGCAATCATAATGCCATAGAGCCAGACACGCTGTCGAGTGGCTCGGACAATCTTGGCAACTCTCGGAGCAGAAGTTGCGTTGCTTGATGGTGAGGATGGCGAAGGATAGCCACCAGAGGCACCATCGCAAAGAGAACAGCCATCATCATGCGGTGAGTCAGGGATCGGGCCAGCAGTCTTTCTTGTTGTCCTTCTGGCAATGGAAGCTGCTGCAGGTGCTGAGGGCGCCATGGTCAGTGCCTTGTCACGGCGAACTTCTTGATCATACTCATCACGAACTTGTCCAACTCGACGGAACAGTCCAGCTGACCTAGCTTCTTGCCCCCACTTGGTGCACATGAGGATCTGGATGAAGTAGCCCCAGAGTTCAACAGCTTCTTTTCGGTGGCCAACGATGACAGTCTTGTTGCATTCAGACTCCTTGCAGGTCACGTGACGAGTGTGGCCATTGGCACCTCGGTGGTATTTCCTCTCGGAGCCACCGGTGTAGCTGGAGTGTTCACATAGCTTTGGGCAATGAAGTGTCATCAATGACTCACCTTCGTCCTCTTCAGACTCATCGCAAACGTGGCTGAAGGCGACTTTTGAGCGACGCTTGACCGGCTGGTTTCCATAGTCGATCTTCACGCGGGACACCTCGGCAACCTTCTTGGAGTTCATGGTGTAGTGAGCCAAGAGGTACATGCCATAGGAAGTGTCAGGGAGCGACTCAATCTCAGGGACAAAGAAACCGGCAGGGTCGTACGAATTCTGTGCGGGGTCATTGTCCTCAGGAGCGGTGACGGGTTCCGAGATGTAGCACTCCTGAGGCTCAGCTTCAGCGCAAAGTGCAGTCTCCTCGGCAGGGTTGTCCTCAGGTTCATGGCCATGAGAGACGAACAGGGTGGTTGCCACCTTTTGGGGTTTCTTCTTTGCCGATGGCTTCCCCTTCCCTTTTCCCTTGCCTTTCCGGGATGCAGGACACTCAGCATCACCGGCCCAGTGACCCTTCTGATGGCAGACTGTGCAAGGTGTCACTGACTTGAGGAACTTGACGGCAGTGCGCCGCTGGTCACGAGCTTTCTCGGAGAAGCTCATCTCTCCCTTGGCTGTGAAGCCAAGTTGTTGTCCAGCACTTGTAGTAGGGCTCGATGAGGGGGTAGGCCTTCCACCAAACTTCTTCTTCTTATTGAAGCGGTGTTGAGCCACAGTTGCAAAGGCTTCTGCGACGTGAGGATCTTCTTCGAAGTCAGGGAACTCGCTCAACAGAGCATCCATGAGTTCATCATCACTGTACCCTTGGAACGCTTCTTCATCATCAGCGACCTGGTACTCCTCATCGTCCTCGTAGTATGCGTCCTCATCTGCAGGGGTGAAGTCAGGTTCATCCTCGACTGCCAGGACCTGTCTGGTCTTATGGTCGAGCCTGCCTCGCCACTTGGCCCGGAAGTGCTGTGACTGGAGAGGTTGGCCTGAGCTGCGTGCACCAAGATAATCTCGTCGGATCACGGGCTTGCCGGCAGAGTTGGGGTACTGGATCCTCATCGCGTGTGCGATCTTCTGGAACTCGTACGTGTTGTTGCAGGAACTCAGGATGCTTGTCTGTTCCTTGGGATCCAGGCCTCCAAAACATAGGAGCATCATCGCCCGGATCTGCTCAGGGACGGAGGTTCCAGTCGCATTCTCCTCCAACCTTCGAAAGTCCTGCTCCCGTCGAACGATGTACTGCTGCATCGTCTCGTTGTTCTTCCTCCAGACATTCGGGGAGTAGAAGGCTTGGAAGAACAGTTCACTCGTCTTGACGGGGAGCTCGGCTGCTATGCTGTCCTTCAGCGTTTGGATGAACAACTTCATCCCGGCATCCGTTGGTTTTCCCTCTGAGGTTTTCGTCTTCAGCTTTGGATGCTCTAGCTTCCGGACCGACTCATAGGCTGCGCCGGAAAGACCTGCTCGAAGATGGACAGGGGTGGCGATCTGAAGTGCGTCCTGGCCTTCACGGCCGTGGAACAAATCCCAAGCTCGTTCTTCATATTCTTCAAAAAGCTCTGCCTCGCCGCTATACTGCGGCACTCCGTGCCGATCGGTGAGGATGCTACCAGCGTAGGCCATGGGGAGCTTGGAAGGGCAGCTTCAACAAGCTCAGCAGCAACGGAGGGCGCCGCTCGCCTCCACAGGCGAAGCGACCGCGAAAGGAGCGCAGCGGCAGCGCCAGCAGCAGCCAGCGCCAGCGTCGCCCGGAGTTAACCGGGCTCCGCTTACCATCAAAGTACCGACGGCGGCGCGACGGTCCGTGGCAGCAGCGCGGATCTTTTGGACCAAGAGCGCTCTGCGGGTCACGCAGAGTTCAAACAGCTTGCAACAGACATGATGCCAACCTGCAAAGCTAGTATGCTTACCTGCTATGCTTGTCCTGCATGGATGTTTCAGATTATATATTGTGTTCTATGCAAAACCACTGTTTGAGAAGCAGCAACACAAAGCATACACAACTGTTTGACTTGTGTCGAAGGCAAGGTGCGGGCGGCCGTGATCGCAGGCCTGGTGAAAAGCAATCACTGCGTGTAGGACCAGTGTAGGAGTCAGTTGATTCCCGTCGCTGCGTCTATATACTGCGATTGTGAGAGGTGGGTTGTTCAGCCTTTCCAACAACTAGTTATTCATGATGTTCATGATCTTCATGTGAATACTCCTCTTGCCCATTTCTTACCTTGACAAGGCTCTCGGAATGAAGGCACGGTGGCAGATCGTTGGCAATGCTGCTGCAAAACCCGTCTTGAACGATTCCACCCATCAAGATATTCTATTAATAAAGGCGCTGCTTGGTTCCACAATTCTTCATATGGCAATCTTGTATACAATGCAGTAGCAGTATCAACTTTGAGGATGCCTACAACTTGAGCAACTGAAATCCTGCAGCAAAAGCGTTCGAAAGTGGAGGGGCGATCAAACCGTCATGAATAATATCTGGGCATTCGCAAACTTATATACTATAATCCAATCGATGTCATCACGGTGTCACAATTAAGTTGTTGGTTGTGGAGCTTGCCGAGGCATTTGGTGACAAGAAGTGGCACCTTTCAGACCCACACTCCGTCCATCCAGGTCCTGGGTTCGAAATGGTGATGGAAGTAAAGTTCCCAGTAGTGCTTGAGGTGCTCCTGAAATTCAAAGGATTTTGACAACAAAACGACAAATCCGCCCGCACCGAAGGTGCTGGGGCGTGTGTATCCGCATCGCATAGTCGCAAGATTTCAGTTTTAGCTGGGGGGGGGCATTATCGGGGCATTGTCGTTGAAAATCAAACGCAAAAAAAATCGCAAATCCGCCAACCGCTTGTCGGGCGTGCTTTGGGGCTCTTGAGCTCTGCGTTTTAGCAAAAGCATCCTATGCAAAAATAACTCTGCTAGCGGGGGGGACTTTCGCGCGTGCGCGGCTATGGTTGGGCTGCAGGGCCACTGGGGAGAGCGTTTTGGAGGTACATGTTTGGATGATTTTTCGTTACGTCGTACTTGCAGGGCCACGGGGGAGAGCGTTTTGGAGGAGTTTTTGTGCTTTGGGGTGGTTGCTGCGTTGATTCTTGCTCGGCTGCAGGGCCACTGGGGACAGCGCTTTGGAGGTGTATTTTTGGATGGCTTTTGGCAATGCCGAAGTTGTATCACCATTATGGGCCCCAAGGTAGACGAAGTTGGCCCCAAGATGGCTCCAACACAGCCGTAAGACAGCCAACCTGGCGCCTTTTTTTCGCGCGTGCGTGGCTATGGTTGAGCTGCAGGGCCACTGAGCAGAGCGCTTTGGAGGTACATTTTTGGATGATCTTTCGTTACGTCGTGCTTGCAGGGCCACTGGGGAGAGCGTTTTGGAGGAGTTTTTTGTGTTTTGGGGTGGTTGCTGCGTTGATTCTTGCTTGGCTGCAGGGCCACTGGGGACAGCGCTTTGGAGGTGTATTTTTGGATGGCTTTTGGCAATGCCGAAGTTGTATCACCATTATGGGCCCCAAGGTAGACGAAGTTGGCCCCAAGATGGCTCCAACGCAGCCGTAAGACAGCCAACCTGGCGCCTAACTTCGGATGTTCGTGCACGGTGTGGGCGGCTGTCGACGCGAAGTGTCTTGAATAACAACATTTGATGAAGGTTTTGGGACACACAAATTTGTTTGAGGCGTTCTTGAAAAAGTTCTTGAAACAACTTAAATGTTGTTTTGAAGATTTGGTGAAAAATAGCAAGGTAGAACCGGCATAAGCAAACATCAGCGGCTTCATGGTACGGCTCTAGCTGGCTACAGTAGGGGTTCGTATTAGCCAGGTAGAGCCGGGACGGTGGGACAGTGGGACACCAGTACAACTAGACTAAAATACTATACTACCTGCTGATAACACGGCAAGCTAGAAAAGCAAAGAAAACAGCAAAATAGTTGAAAGGCTGTAGCTGGGTTCAGCAAATAGCTCTGTGGTGGGGGCGGACCCAGCCACGTAGCGGCGCGAATATAGTACGAGCGGCACCCAGTAAAACCCTCCCTACAGCCTCAACCACCACTACAACCTCAACCCAGCAGGAGCTGCCACTGAAGCTGCCAAACCTCAAGAATGGAGGTGCATGGCAGTATCACCTAAAGGTGATCTGGTCCATATGTTTTGTGGAGAGTTGTTGATGAGTTTGCTGAGGGCGCGCCATAATCCTTCTGGGTGTTGCCATATCTTTGACAGGAGTACTGTGCTTCCTTACGTCCACTCTCAAACCAACACACTTTCCCACTTTCTAACTTTACCAAGTTGGAGCAACTGTTTTACAGTGTCTCGAAACTCTTTCGTCGAGCGTCCCTACAAAGCCTTGCAGACATGCTAAACAAAAAGAATTCAAGCCAAGAACAGAGGTACAAATACATGTTACACAAACATACAAAACCACACAGAACCTAGGCCTGGACCCCTGAATCTAGTCTTGTTGAGCACAAGTTTCACTGGCAATCCCTGCCAAGCCTTGTTAACTTGTCAGGAGGAAGAAGCTCAGCATGGGTTGATGGGTAGGGGGTCTTATTGATCGCGTGATTATTGTTTCTGCTCTTTCCGCTTTGCCAATCTTTCCAGCTCGTTGGACGTTCACAACCAGTGAACCTTTGGCCAAAACGTACAGTAGCTGTCCTCAGGAAGCCCCTGTCGATCTGGATCGGCTGCGTCCATTGGAAATGCATGACACAGCCTCATGGCATTGCATCGCCGGCACAATAGCCCAAAAGGTTCAGCCAGCCAAAAACTCTGGCGTTGCACACGCAACAAAGCAACTGGCTTCTTCGCAACACAGAAAGGTTAAGTGGCCCTAAAAATCTAGGAACCAAATCATTAGTGCGAGCGCTTCTTCAAGGAAGCTCCCCCCCCTCAGGCGGGGGAACTTCCTTAGAGAAGCGTGAGATATCCTGCGTCCATACTAGTAGCTTAAGTAGCAGGAGCGGAGCGGGCTGTATACATTTATATGATGGACTTATACCTTTCTAAAAGAATGTTTATTTACTGTAGAGAAATGCCACGACCGGAGACTCATTTTGGCATGCTAGCCGTCTTAGCCATAGCCCATTCTTCTTGGTGACAATCTAACTGCAGGAACAAACAGAATACAGATCTTCTCCCACCCTCATGAAAGTGAAGGTGTGCATGCCATGCTTGAGTACCGGTCTCTGAATCTGTTGCTTGGTATTTCTACCCGTGCTTCCAGTCAATTGGATCTGGTGTCCGTGCAAATGCATCTCAAAACGCCAAGACAGGACCACCCAGTCCTGGCGGAAAGCCCGAGCCGAGCAATCTTTGTGCCAACACCTTTTAAGTGGAGCAATCCTTCGATGGTCCATATAATGCAATGAACGGCCTCCAAAGTTTGAACGCATTGGATCTGCTTCATGATTCAACTGTCCAACGCAATCTTATAGTACTGAGCAGTCCCCTTCGGTGCTACGCAGGATTCTTCAAGAAAATGCACTGAAGAGGATTTACAAATTATGACTCCCATGGCCCATGGCGACGCCAAACAAACTTGTTCTTACGCTGTAAGGCTTGCTGTGAACGAAGCATGTGCCCGGCACTCAGTATGCACAACCTGCATACAGTCTTAGAGACGTTGGCACTAATCGTGCAGCGCTGATAGCGTTCCATCTGATGATGGGATGCAAAGTCCGCCTCACAGCCTACCCTGCTTATCCCTGCTTGGTATTCTGCAGTGGTTGTTGTCATCACTCGCATCTTTGTGCAAGGTCCTCGTACTTGAAATTGCCGTAGATGGGAGTGCCCTTTCCATCAACATCATGAGGATCCTGAAACGGATGGCATCAAGAAAATCAAGCTTTATGACATGGAGAGCTGGTAGCTCAACATACCTCACACCCTTTGTCTCAAACTATCATCGCTGAAGGATCCAACAAATCCATCTATGCAATTCTCGCAATAGAGACTTTCTCGTCTCAACAGCGTTGAACGCACTTCCAGGGCATTGCTAACCCAAATGCGACTCATTTGACTCATTTGCTGTCACTGCCTTCACATCTTCAAGATCAATCGACGATGCCTTGGGTCCGGTCAGGTGATAAATCCAAGCGCCTGGTTCAAGTTCTCATTAAGGCCCGGACCACATGTAGCAAACTATCGTCTTTTTGGCTCCGAGTGCAAAAGTCCTTTTGCCTTGGAGCTCAAGCTGTCCCTCCAAAGTACTACTTACTACTTCTTGAAGCTCTGAGGAGTGGTGCCCATTCTGGAAAACTCTCCGCACATTTTTCCATTCCTGACAGATCTGACAAACATTGTTGAAAGGATTTACCACAGAATGAATCCACCATTTCGCTCCGCCTCACATCTCCGGTGGAACCATTCACCCGGCACCAGGTCCTCCACTACTTGCTTGGCCTGCACACAAAACTCCAGATCCCTCACAATACAACCATCCCCATTTGACAAGAAAACGATGCAGAACAAACTGCTGCAAAACTGCAGCAAATAAGGCAAATTCTGACATGTCGCACTTGCTTTGCCATGCAGCTGCCATCCTCTGTTGTACTAGCGGAATACAGCAATTTGCGCTGCGCCTTCCGTTCCCTGAGCCATTGAGCCAACTCTGCACGAGCAGATTCCTGTCCGCCATACCAAAGCGACAATGTGGTTTTGATATGTTTTGATGCAGAATATGCTGAATAGGCATGAATCTGACACAAGACTACAACATCATAACAAATGCCCAATCTGATGCATATGCCAAGCACAAGCCCAGACTTTCCTGAAATTGACCTTTTCTTTACTCAGTACTGCACCAGCTCTCAAACCTCTCGGCATTCGTTTTGTATTTACAGTATTGCATTTGCGCATTGCAGCTTGGCCAAGCACCAAGCTCAAAGCAGAAATTGTATATTTCTTTGTCTGCTTCGGAGTAACTAGGGCGGGCTAAAGTACAACAAATGAATTTCCTGGTCATTCCTTCTTCTCCTTCTTGTGGTACCATTGAAGCAACATCCAAATCATGAAGCACCTTAAATCACACTGGAGCAGACTTGACTGGCAAGTATAAAGTCCTGGTCCAGTGCTCGACCCGATCCTTCATTGACATTCTCCCAGTTTCATGAACTGATAAATAGAATGATTTGCCCCTCGGGGACTATTCTTCCAAGGATAGAACATTGCTAGGAGCACTCCTAGTCTTTGCAGCGCCAGCAAATCGCCGACAGAAGGCGCGAAGGGCATATCCTCGGAGTGGACAGGAGCAAGAGGCTAAATTAATGTCAATTAACTAAACCTACAAGCGATGGCCTTCAACCTACAAGTGATGGCCTCCAACCTACAAGCAA